AAATATTATTTTCTCTTGATCCTCAGGAGATATTTGAATTTGGTGAGAACCGGTATATCCTTCCAGAAAAAAAAAGTATTTATGCTCATCTAGTCTATCCAACATTTTATCTAGAAAGGTAGTGGAAAATGATCTTTCCTAGTGAGAAGATTTAAATTTTTATAATCAATGCATCTTTGCCACACTGTAACTTGCCTAGTAGGTATTAACTAATTATGCTCATTCACAATTACAGTTACTCCTCCGTTCTTAGGAACACAGTGAATTGGACTAACCCATGCACTATTTAAAATAGCTATCTGAAATAGGGTAGATAATTCCAGCATCTAACCACTTATAAATTTCTTTCTTAACAACCTCTTTCAAAACAGGATTTAATCTCCTTTATAGATCAGCCTTGGGTTGCAGTTTTCTTCCAGATTAATTCCATGCATATAAATTGAAGGACTTATTCCTTTAATATCAGCAATTTTCCACTCGAAGGCTTTCTTAAAATATTTCAAAATTTTCATTAGCTTTCTTCTTCTTCCTTTATTAACTTTGAGAAAATTATAGTAGGTAAAGTAGAGGAATGTCCAAAAAAGGCATATTTTAATTATTCATGAAGTAATTTCAACTCAAGTTTTGGAGGTTTTTCAATAGATGAACAAAATGATTTATCTTTTTCAATCGTGTCCAAAATTTTAAAACTTTCTTGAACATAACTTGAGTCTTCCTTACAAAGGTTTACACATTGATCTAATTCCACTTCTTGCTCGTGTTCCAAATCTTTTTCTTCAGATTTTTCTTCATAAGTTGTCTTAAAATGACATTAGCTCATATATCTTATAACATCCATTCTATAACATTCTCCATCTTTACCTTTTCCCATCAAATAATGAAAAAAAAAAAAAAATTTCATTGATTTTAAAATGTTAAAAGTAACATTTTAATCATTGACGTGCATTGTTAATTCCCCTTTCTGCACATCTATCATTGCTCTGCTCTTCACATCTATCATTGCTCTTCATGTGGCTAGGAAAGGTCTCCCCAAAATTATAGGTATCTCTTTATCTTTCTCCATATCTAGCACAATGAATCAACATGAAAGATTAATTAATAAATTAATCCAAATTCACTGGGACATCTTCTATAACTCCTTTAGGGTATGTTATCAAACGATCTACTAACTACAGAGTTACAGTAGTAGGGGTTATTTCTCCTAATTCCAATCTTTTAAATATTGATAATGACATAAGTTTAATGCTTGCACCTAGATCACATAAAGCTTTCCCATAAAATTTGCCTCCTATTGCACATGGAATTGTAAAGCTACCAGGATCTTTAAGCTTTTCAAGAAGTTTCTTCTGAATTATAGCATTGCACTCCTCACTAAGTGAAATAGTCTCATTATCTTCAAACTTCCCTTTTCTGTTGAGAATCTCCTTCATAAACTTTACATAGCTTGGCATTTTTTCTAAGGCTTTAACACATGGAATATTAATTGTAAACTTCTTAAATATTTCTAAAAATTTTGAAAATTGCTTATCCAACCTCTGTTATTGAAGTCTCTGAGGAAATGGAGGTGGTGGTTTTTATAAATCAATTTTCGACGGAGAAATAGGTCTTTCAAAATATTTTGGAGCGTCTTGTTTTGATTCTTTAGTTTCTTCTCTCTCTACTTCAATCTCTTTTTGAACTCTACCCTCCAACTCTCTTCCGCTTCTAAGTTGTACGACTTTAACTTACTCTTTATTTTGGTCTTTTGCATTTTATTCAATATTACTAGGAAGTGTTCCTTGGGATATATTACTTAATGAACTTGTGATTTGCCTAAGTTGATTCTCAATATTTCTAATTGTAGCTCCTTGACTTTGTAACTGATTACCCATTTGTAACACCACTTCTTCTATAGACAACTTCTTATCCTTAAATTGTATATTACAGTTGATTCCTGGAGGATAAGTAGATCTATAATTATTATGCCCTTGGTTGTTCTAGTTTCCCAATGTGTTTACTTCATTTTTCCCTCATTACTTAGTATTATCACCCAAATTATTATTCGAGTTAAAGTTTGGATGGTTCTTCTAACCTGGGTAATAATAATTGGAATATGGGTTATTCTACTTATGATTTATGGAATTCAAAGTCTCTAATGATGTTTGAGAATCTACCATTTGACCTAGTGAATTCTTTTCAATCATGGAAATTGGTTGAGAAAAATTCTTTCCAAATTGGTCTAACTTCCTTGAAATTGCAGTAACTCGATTGCTAACATAGTAAATGCATCAATTTCATGAATATTGGCTACTTTCTCTGGATTCACCCTCTCAGAAGGCCATTGAAAATTATTGGTAGCCATCTCTTCAATTAAAGAATAAGCGTTATGAAATGGTTTTGATATCAATGAACCACCAACAGTGGCATCGGTAATAGATCTAAGAGAACCGATTAATCCATTATAAAAGGTTTGAATTTTTAACCAATCTGGTATAACATGGTGTGGACACTTTCTTAAGAGTTCATTAAATTGTTCTCATGCTTCATAAATAGATTCCCCTTCAAACTGATTAAAAGATGTAATATCATTTCTAAGCTTCACAGTTTTTTTATGGTGGAAAATATTTAGCAATGAATTTTTATGCTAAATCACCCCAAGTTCTGATAGATCCAGGTGCTAACAAATTCAACAACATCTTGGTTTTATCCTTCAGTGAGAAAGGAAATAACCTAAGTCTTATGGAATCATATGAAACACCATTGTATTTAAATGTAGCACACAATTTTTGAAAATTGTTAAGATGTAAATTTGGATCATCAGTTGGTGATCCCCCAAATTGACAAATTGTTTATTTCATATCATTTGGATAATAGCAGGTTTAAGCTCAAATGAATTAGCCACTACAGTAGGTTTTTGAATACTACAACAAATTTCATCTACAATAGGGTTGACATAATCTCTTAAGGTCTAAACTCTTGATGAATTTTAGAATTTTGACTAATTTGGTTTTCCATTTCTGTAATTTTTTTAGATTTTTCAGGATTTTTATTTTTTGTTTATTTTTCTAATTTTTCTAATAGTTTTTTATAATTCAGAATCATAGGGCACTAGTCCTTCAGAACCTGAACTACACATACACTAACATAAAATAAAATAAAATAAAATAAAACATACAAAATAAGATACAATATTTAATGTTTAAATAAGAATTTCTAAAAATAGAAATTTACTTAGTTTTCTTCCCCTGCAACGGGGCCAAAAACTTGATCCTGACTCAATTCTTATGCACATTATAGCAATAGTTTTGTTGTATTTTTTACTTATATTTTCTTATTTTGTAACAAAACCAAAAACTTGATCTTGAAGAAAAATAAGAATTGAACTTTTTACTTATATTGGGATACTATGCAAGTATACTTATCGTTATCAAGTAATATAGGACTTTTTAATTAAGACCTGAATATTGAACCCACAGGAAAGATTATGCAATATGTACTTTTTAGAAATTTTTTCTATTTTTAAAAATATAATTACTTCAACTAAAAAAAAATTTGTAGGAATTTAAAATTTAAATAATTTTGATATTTTTGACATTTTAACGAAACAATAACAATTAAAAAGATAACTAAAGTTTTTGTAGAGAAAGGTATTTAATATGAAAATATCTTTTTTCTTGTCATGAATCAGTAATACGTATATGAATTCTGTTGTGGAAATATGCAAATTGTATTATGTCAAATATGAGAAATAATATTCTTTACCCTTTCTAGAGATGCTATGAAGAACAGTGGCTAATTTAAAGTTTGAATAAGTCTGAAGACCGGCTAGGCAGGGAAGATACTAGCTCTCACTCTAGAGTTCCCTCGATTCCCTCCACCTGGGGTCTAACATTCTTGTACCAGAACCTAAGACAATAAATCAAGTTGACCGGTTCTTACATGTTTACACAATAAATTTTAACATCTGGATTGGTCAAATTAAGAAGTAAATGAAGGGCATGGATTTAGATCATCACAACTTCTTCCAACATTAAATATCAATACTCTCCACAACTTCCATCCAATACTCAATCACTTCTCATTTTAAGCAGAAAAATAAAGAAAACTACTCAGAATCCATGTAGAAAACAAAACCACACTTTAGTTTAAAAGAAGAAATCATTGTCAAACCAACGACAAGTCTCGATTAAAACCAACAGTAGTCGAAAATAAAAAGATAAAAACTTATCTCAAGTCCTCCACCAAACTCTTAAAGTTCCTTTGAATATCTTCTCTTTTACAATCACCAAAAACATATAACAAAAAGGATAAAGTAAATAAAAAGTGGTTCCTGAAAATGTTCCTGAGTGGTTCCTGAAAATCTCTCCGAACTAACTCTCCAGAGAAGAACTTTCAAAACTTGCCAATATTTTCAAGACTCTTTTCTAAGTCCTCTCTTCTTTCTTTTATCTTTTTCCAATAGGTGCATTGAGATCTCTTCAAAATGTGTCTTGATTAAATGTGTCTATGTGTCTTGATTCTATGTATTTGCCCAAGAGATGCATCCTTTTATGATAATTTTCATCCATGGTGGTTACAACCACCTATTAAGCCAATGGGTGCTCAAAAACCTCTTTTAAGTTCATGAAAACTGATTTTACTCATCTAGCAACTGCCACTAGAGTGTAAGCGCGGGGTCTCGGGGCTTAGGCGTGGTCTTCTCTTTTTAACCAGTACTTAAGCACTGGATCTGATGCTTAGGCACCAAAATTTTTTTGCATAATCTTTCACCTTTTTGCTCCAAATTTGATCCTTTTTCACTCCTTTAAGCATTTTTTTCCATTTTTACTTGTATCTGCAAGAAAAACACAAAAATACCTTCCACTAAAGTGTAATATCTCAAAAATAGGTATAAATTTTTTTTTAAAAACACTATATATTTTAGGTGTATCACTCCACGAGTAAGGAGAGGGAAGCTGATAAGAGATTTTGACTTAAGAAAATTTGTCAATTTTAAAGACCAACATTGTTATAATACTAAAATGGAAACAAGAAAATGGATCCAGGAATGGGCATTTGCTAACTCGGGTGGCGAGATCGAGAGGTTGATCGTCGCCATAAATTGGGAGAGGTTTTGCTACTTCACAGCAGTACAATTGTACATATGATTCGAGATTTCTATGCCAACTTGCGATTCACCCCTGACGATCACATCTTGGTGAGAGGTAAGCAAGTTAGAGGAATGATCAATGCTTTTTATGGACTGAGAAATGCATTTCATTGGGTATATGCTGCATTCGTGATGATTGGTTCATCACTAGATGAAGTGATTACCTTTCTGACAGATGGAAGAGGATAATGGAAGATTAAAGATAATAAGAAAGTTAACTTCTCCACTTCCATGATTATTATTATTCAGTCAAAGGTATGACACCACTTAATGTCTACTAAAATATTGCTAACAAATCATCTAACTGAAGTAACGAAGGATATAGCTGTGATAAACTTTTGCATTCAGAAAATGAAGGCAGTAAATGTTAGTGCTTTTATAGTTCATCAAGCTCGAAGTATAGCTAGTTGTGCTACAGCTAGTGGTTTGGGTTACCCTGCCCTGATTTTCACTTTATGTGAGCAATCAGGAGTAGATTCCCATAAAAATGAGGAAATGATGCAGCCACAAAATTCTATCAGGAAGCATATTGTTGAAAAAGTTGAATCATTTGTTGAGTTTAGGAGTGGAAGTAGTGATAGACCCTCAACATCAGTTGCAAAAACATCTACTTCGCACTCTTCTTTGCTTGAACATATCATGGAGCAGTTCATGATTCAATAAATAGATATTGTGAATATGTAAAACAGGATTAGAAGAATTGAAGCAAGTAATGCTTACAATGATGAATATAAGCAGAGGAGATTTCAGCAAAAAGTAGCTTATGAGGAAACTATGGTTAGATATCAGGTGAGCATAATGTGAAATTCCCAACTTGGCCTAGTTTCACTCCTTATGCTCCAGATCATGATGATGATGAAGAAGAAGTAGATGATGATGATGATAATGATGAGGAAAGCGATGGTAATTGCTATTCTTAAGAGTTTAGTTTGTTTATATTGATGTTGTTCGTTATTGTGATTGTGTTGGGTTGACCTCACTTTTGGTTGAGGTTTAGTTTTTCCTCTTTAGTAGCCTAAGGTATATCCATAGGACTTTCTTATTGACTTTGACTATTCTTAAGGACTTTCTTATTGACTATTCTTAGAAAACTAGACAAGGAACCGAAATTTTAAACTCTTCTCAACTCTTCTCTACTCAACTTGAAGTTTCAAATATTGGTCCTAACCTCTAGCACTTAGTAGGTGAGGTCATTACAGGGGAACTCAAGATGATCCACCCTTAGGATTGCTTGACCTTAGGGTTGACCATGGGTAGTTTTCTAGGGCTAAGGCACTCACTTGCAATCACTTGCACTCACAATCACTCACTATCCTAAACTTAAATTTCTAGGTTGTGGTCCCTTAATACTTTTGGGAGACTTCTATAGGTGGTCCCCTAAACCCATTAGCCTTAGGCTAGAGCCCTAGGCTAGGGTTTAGCTAAGACCACTACATAGAGGACCCAAAATGGGTTTTCCATTGGTCAATGGCTTATTGATGGTTGTTGGCACTCCAACTCTACCAAGACACCGAACCTAGCCTTTTGCCCCTAAATTCCCCAAAATTACCTAGATACCTTTGGGACCTCAAATTTGGTCAAAATTCCCAACTTGTTTCAAAAACCATTTCAAACCCCTTGAAAACAGCCAAACTACCCAAAATCACTGAAATTGGCCAAATAACCAAAATACCCCTCCTTATCCCAAAATTCTAAAAAATTCCAAAAAAATCCTAAAAAATTCAAAAAAACTCCCAAATATTCCTAATTTTATTTTTCTTAACTATCACATGACCCAATTTGGCCAATTTAAGCATCTTTGATCAAAATCCCCAAATTACCCTTTAAAGGCCCATATTTTCCCTAAATCACTCCAGATGTCCATGAATTTGATCCCAGCTCCAAATGTCCATGAATTTGATCCCAGCCTCCCCAAATTTCAATCCCAAACTCAAATTCACCTTTAAAATGAACAAAAAAAACCAAATCCAAGCTCAATTAGTTCATCATTTTAACCCAATTTTGATTTAGATCAAAACCCGAATTTTGGCCCCATGACTTGGTTCCACTAAATGGAACTCATAGCTCACTCAATTTGCCACAATTTTTGTTGAAAAATTGTCATAACATCTTCATACATCGAACTTGACATTAAATTGGCCTTGGTGAGGCCTCAATTTCATTTGATTTCAACCTAAGTCCAAAAGCCCCAATTTTGTCCCAAATTGGCCATGTCTCAAAATCTCACCAAATTAATGGCCTTGGCCCCAAAATGTCCACTCTATCCCTTCATGAAAAGTATTCACAGCACCTTCCTTGATCAAATGAACCATTCAATTTGGACTTAACCCACATTCAATTTGGACTTAACCCATGTCTAGCCCAACATACCCAAAATTG